CTGCTCTGGTGAGCAATACATTCTGGACCGGGAGGCTCAACTGGCTTGAAGATGAGGAAGACAGTATATCATGCCATGTAGTTGGAGAAGCACTGGGCAGAAGACCTGGGATCCCTTCTTGATCTGGCTCCATTGTTAACTGTGACTCTTCTCTAAGCCTTGGTTTCCTCACATGAACAAGGAGCACAATCCCTACCTTACCCACAGTGATATACTTCCAAAAAGGGCAGATTACATAGCAAAGTCAAATAGCCACGGTGCAGCAATTTGGAGCCAAGACCAATGCAATGTGGACTCTAGTCTTTGAGGGGGCTAAGACTAGACCCACTCTGGCCATACTCTCAGGGTCTCTCCAGGGATTTCCTCAATGGGCCTTCCTTGATTTGAATGGCCATGGAATTGCACTGTACTGGGACCCACACTGGAATGGGGAGGTAGCCAGGTTCCTGCTGACCCCTCCCTTGGGATGAAGGCCTCAGGGACTGATGAGCACTTGTCATCTTGCCTGCTGCCACCTTAACAGGGTTCAGCATCAGGAAACAGGTTCTAGTCCCAGTTCTACCATTTACCACCTGGCAAACCCTAGGTCTGGATTTCAATGTGTTCATCTACAGAATGGGGATAGCCACTTCTTTCTCAGGGAAAAGTAAGGATTCACTGGGTTGTTCAATTTCCTGCCCACAGGGACTGAGCTACACAATCAATCAATCATCATCACTGCTAGAGAGACGAAGTAGAGAATAAAAAGATTAGCTACTTCAGTCTTTAAGAAGAAGAACATTCACTGAACACCTGTTGAGTGCCAGGTTCTTTTCAAACATCAGCTCACTTTACCTCCCAGCAACCCTGAAAGTTTATATTATAACCATTGTTGTTGAGTGTTGATGAGTCGATTTCAGCTCATAGCAACTGTTTCTAAGGAGCTGCTAATGGGTTTGAACCACTGACCTTGTAGTTTACAGTCTAGTGCGTATCCTATAGTGCCACACCAGGAGTCCTTATAACCATTATACAGGTGAAAACTGAGGCTCAGAGAAATAAAGTAACACGTCTAAGGCCACAGAGACAGTCAGATTCCAGAGCTCATTTGAGGAGGGAGTCCCAAGCACCTTCTCTCTGCTACCTCAGTGTAAACAGATTGGGTAGTTGGACTCAAGCCAGGCCTGACTGGAACCTCTGGAGGTCCTGTTTCAGATGCTGAAAGGACAAAACATCAAGCAGGCCCTACTGCCTTATCTCTTTCCCACAGCTTAGGATTTCCTAGCAGGCGGACACAGAGGCACCTTCCCAGGGCAGTAGCTGGTACACCTCGCCAAGTTAGGTCTTGTCTGAGGCCCTAGAACACCCACATGGCTACCAAACCGGATTTTCCTTTGAGGCTAGGAGAGGGGAGGAGGAGAGAAAATGGGAGGGTCTGTGGTCTAGAGTCACAGACCAGAGCCCCACATGTGTAGTTGCCTCCTTCCAGATGGGCCACCCAGAGACCACCGCACTGCTAGCCCCACACTCTCCTGGGATCTGTAATAGCTCAAAAAAAAGAGATGCTCTGAGCTTACAAATGACAGTAGTGGTGAGGCAGGCTCTAGCCTGCCAGGAGGGTGCTGGCCCCACCCCAACAAAAACTGGCACAGACCAAATTAGAGAGATACCAATTAAGCCAGTTCTACGATTCCCAAAGTAGCATAGTGGTTACGAATCGGGCTGCGAATCTTAAGGTCAGCGGTTCGAAACTACCAGTCGCTCCGCGGGAGAATGATGAGGCTTTCTACTCCCGTAAGGATTTACACCCTCGGAAACCCTGTACAGGGTCGTTATGGGTCGGAACCGACTTGACGGCACTTCACAACAACAACAACAACGATTCCCAAAGTCTTAGGGCTGCCATAGCTGGCTAGGAGCGGTGGAGGCCCCAGGGAACGGGGAAATGAACCAGCAGAAGGCAACACTGCTGTTGCAGATATTTTCCCCTGGGCCCAGCTCAGATCCCTCACTCCTCTAACAGGAAGCAGATGCCTATGGTATCCCAGAGAGTATGGTCATCTCAGGCCCAACAAAGGGCCTCTGCAGAGTAGGCACAAAAGGCAAAGTGAAAAAGTGGGAAGAGACAGGGCTGAGAATCAGGGAATCTGGGTTCAGTTCCTAGTTTTACTTCTCAGAGACTAAAGAGTTGAAGCTAATCATGTCTTTCAGGCCCTCAATATACTTAATGTACAATGTATATCGACAGCCATTTCTAAGGTCACTTCAGCTTCCTGGTCTGTAATGTCTATCAATAAACGTCATTCAGTAAGTAAACTTTAATTGAGCATTTACTACACTGCAGGTTTTACACTAGATGCTGAGGAGGAAAAGGTGACTGTACTCTGTCCCAGACAAAAATTTGATCAGTGGTGGCTCCATACGATAAGCACTGGACTGCGAGCCACAAGATGCATGGTTTGAGAAAGATGAGGCTTTCTGTTCCTGCAAAGATTTTAAAAGCCTCAGAGACCCTATACAGGCTTGCTATGAGTCAGAACAGACTCGAAGGCACTAACAATAACAAAAATGAGCTGGTAACAACAACACACTTTTTCCTTTTCTGGTTAGACTCAGTTTCCTCACCTGTACCATAAGTAAGGGCTAGGCTAGCCAATCTCTGACATTTCCTTCTAGCTCTAACAAGCTCTGATTTTATGATCTAGTCACACCAGGCACCTGACAAGTCACCTAAGCAGGGTTGCCTCTGACCTGCTTTCTTCCCCACCCCACAGCAACTGCCAAAACTGACCGTCTTGAGACAACCTTTGGCCCAGAGTGGCTGAAATGGACTTTTAATCTGAGCCAGAGTCCCCACAACCTCCACTGTAGCCAACAGCGCTAATGTTTCACTTCTCTGAGACAGCACATGGACTCCTAGCCCTCAACCACGAGACTGGGTCGAGGGCAGTCACCCTGAAACTACCTAACTTCCCCCTTATGGTTTTGGCAGGGGACTTAATTTTGGTCTTTTGGGAATCACAACAGAAGCCAAGCAGTGAACATCCAAGTTTAAGACACCAGGTTGACCAAGAGGGTCAAGAAAATGAGGCAGGGAGAGAGGACTGGACCTAGATCCCCATTCAGTGGCAGCATTACAAACACCAGTGATGTCTTTAGAGCCACATCCCAGGTTTGCGGTTGGAGGTTGGGGAAGACAGATGTCTGGCTGCCTGGGTGAGGACGACAGCCAAAGGGAGGTGCTCCCATTGGGGCCTCTCTGTCCACAAATACCAGAGGTACTCCCTCACTTTTCTCCTCAATTCTCAGAACCTTAGAAGGAAAAGAAAGGCAATGAATACTTTCTGGGCCACTACTGTACTGGGTGCCTTCTCATATCTGGTCTCATTTAATCCCCACAAGACTCTTGGAAGAAGGTCTTATTTTGTTCCTTTACACTCAGTAAGCAGGCTCAGAGATTCAGGATCTTGCCCAATGTCACACAGCCAGTAAGTAAGTCCTTTTCCCACTCTCTCTCGCACTGCTTTGCACCCCAAGATCTGATTAACTGTCCCAAGAGGCATGTAGTAGGCATTCTAGTGGGTTAGAATTTACCAATAAGCCTGAGCGCTTCCTTCTAAGGACCCACAAATGGAACCAGGAACTCCTTTTCCAGTTCTCCAGACCCACCTTTTTCCAGATCTCTGATCCCTGGTGACTGTTCTCCTATTCCCAAACACAACCTAGGTTCCTTTTGGGTGCACACAAACGAATCCCTGGGGGAACTGTGGCAAGGAATGGAGTCAGGGTGAGGGATGGGAATGAGGTGTGCTCTTGAGGCCTGGCTTGGACTACTTTTACCAGCAGTGAATAGTGGGGAGGGGCTAGAGAAGACAGACAGTTGGGGGAGGGCACTCTCCATAGAGGTGGGCCCTCCATTTCTCCAAGGGAGAGGAGGCCTGATGAATAAGAGGTTTTGTTGTTGTTGTTAAGTGCCATTGAGTTCATTCGGACCCCCGGCGACCCTGTACAGGGCTTCCGAGGCTGTAAATCTTTACGGGAGCAGAAAGCCTCATCTTTCTCCCGCGGAACAGCTGACAGTTTCAAACTGCTGACCTTGATTCCCTGATTCCCTGATTCGTAACCACTAAGCTACCAGAGCTCCTTAAGAGGCTATAGAGGCCTTTATGGAGCTGCTGGTGGGGCACTGAGCTCTTCCAGCTCTCAAGACATTGCCACAAGTCAGGACAGAGGCTGGGGGGACCCTGGGACAGCCTACTAGTCAGAGGAGGGGGAGGAAGGCTGGGTCGGTGGGACCCCACAGGTCATGGGGAGGGGGGCTGTCTCTGCACCAGGGAGACTTGTCAGTTCTGGGCAGGGAACCAGTATCATGGGACAGGGGAGCTGGGAAAGGAGTCAGATCTGGACACTGCCTTCCTTTCCTCAGGGGACCGCCAGCCCATGCACCTCGCCTGCCAGCTGGGCGTCTCTGGAGGAGAGGGATAGGGGTGTGCGATCTGAGCCGGGACCCTCCTGTCTGCCTGCTTACTCCCCCAGTCGTTTTTTGGGGCGAGCTGCCTGCGGTGAGTAAGTGGGGAGAAGGGGGGAGTGTCCGCCGCCTGCAGTCAGTGATGGGGGTGCGTAGGGAGCTGTCTGGGAGGGCTCAGACCCATGGTGGCCCACCCGGAGGTCTGTTGAGTCTGTCCTGAGATGGGGTGGGGGTCCGTTAGAGCGGTAAGTGGAGACCGTCTGTCTGGTGGGGGTTGTCCATTGGCTCTGAGATCAGGATGGAGGCAGGCAACTGTCTGTCTGTCCCCAGTTGTCCGTCCCGGGGGGGTCGGGTGTAGGCTGGAGGGGGAGCTGGGGGAGGGAAGGGGCGGGTCCGGGGGGGGGGGCCGGGATTAGGGGCTCGTGGTCCCTGCCTGGTAAGGAGGTAGCACCTCGGGGGCTCCCAAAGGCGGATCCGTCCAAGTAGGCTCCCCACCCCCGCGGTTCGCGCCAGGCCCGATATCTCCCCTCGGCCCAGCTCCGGCGCTACTCACGCGCCCTCGGCGCCCTGCGAGCCCACGATGAAGCCGAACTTGTTGATGCGGCGCTCTGCGAAGCCGTTGGCCTCCGAGTCGGAGCCCAGAGAACTGAGTTCGTCAGCGGTCGCGGCGTCGGGGCCCGGGGCCAGGCTCTCCCGGGTCCCCGACAGGCTTTCCCCAGCCGCAGGCGCGTGCGGCCCGTTCTCTCCGCGGCTCTTCGCCATCCCGGCCGCGCCCGCCGCCTCAGCTTCGCGGCCGCCTCAGCCACCTCAGCCACCCGGTAGCTGCCGACGCCACGCCCATTCGCCGGGCCCATTGGCCGCTGCACTACCGGGGGCGGGACTCAAGGCGCACTCTGGAGCTTCTCTACCCTGCATCCAATGGGCGCTGCGGACCATGGGCCCCGCCTATCTTCCCCAGGCTGGCGCCAACAGGTCCGACGTGAAGGGGTGGGGCAGCTGTCACTCGAAACCCGCCTCTCCCCAAGCTGCCAATCAGAGAGCTCACCTGGACCAGCTTCTCCGGTCTTTCCGGGTTTGGACCGGCTATCCTGTCACCTCCCGCCGCGCGCGAGCAGGTGACCCAGGGCATCTGCATCTTCTTTTGGACCTCCGTTCTTTGCGAGACCACAGGGACGTGGGAGAGTATTCTTTCACCCATTCCTTTATGAACTTAAGACTCAGGTGAATTCAGGACCTCACCAAAAGAAACACAGCGACTTAAAAGCCCCGCCAGAGCTAGAAGTTTTATCACTACGGAGGCTTAATATTAACTCCTGGAAGACCGTATAATGAAGAATGACCAACGTTAATGGGGACATGCACTGCCTACGTTCTCTTTTTCCTCAACAACTTTGTGGAGATTAATTCACCTCAATTTAAATATTGTTGTTGTTGTTAAGTGCCGTTGAGTCGATTCCCCTATGGTTTCCGAGGAGAAGCTGGTGAGCTTGAACCGCCAACCTTGCAGTTCAAACAGCTTTGCAGTCTGGCGCATTAATTAACAGCGCCACACCAGAACTCCTTTAGGACCTCCTTAAGGAGATTAAAAATTCACTCTTTTAAATTTAAACGTACAATTCAATGGTGTGAATTTACAAACTTGTGCAGCCATCACTGTAATCAAATTAAAATTTTTATGATCCCTGAAAAAAATGTCATAGCCATTAGCAATTACTCTGTCATCCACCATCAGCATTCCCAGACAACCACTTAATTTATCTTTTGTAGACATTTATACAATAGATGGTCTTTTTTGTTTTTCTTTCTTAAATGTTTTACTGTGAATTATGTGATAGTTTACATGGGAGAACATTAGTTTTACATTCGTTCTATCATATATCGTCTCGTTGCCATGGTTACAATACCCTCCATGCAATCCTTCCCCCTTCCCCCCTAACCCCCACCCCAGGTCTTCAGCACACAGTTGCTCTCCCTCTCTGGATCTAAAGTCTCCAGCTGCTCCATCGCTCCACGTCATCATCTCTGGCTCCATTTCAGGCATCACTGCTTCTCTGGGTAGGGTCCGCTCTCCGCTCTTCTCCCTTGATGGTCCTAGGGACCTCTGCTCCTAGACTGAAAAGTTTATCACTCCCTCCTTGCTATAACATGTCTACCATTACATTTCCAACCCTCACAATCAGTCCTGATAACAATTATTCACTATTGTATCACAAGAGACCCGTCTGCATTTCATTGCATCAGCCCAGCCTAGTCAGATTGAATACTACTCACTGGAGATTCTACCTTCCTCCAGGCCCTCTGGATCTAGGTTCCCTCTTGAAAGCTTGTAAGCCAGTCACTTCTTGCCTTTGTAGCCTCCCGCCCCCCATTTTGGGTAGCCAATGTCCAAGTTGCCCATCCCTGTCTACTCTGTGTGTAGAAGGGGTGGGAATGATTCTTGCTGTAAGGACTTGTTCCCTCTTTTGAGCTACTGCTTCCATAGGTATAGGTCAAGTTCATCAAATTGTATGAGAATGCTTTTTTTTTTCTCCTCTTCTTTTTACTTTCTGGTTGAGCTCTGATCATCCAGTCACTGAAGCCAGGATAAGTGGGTATTATCTACAAGTGTGGGTGTTCTTATGCCTATGCATTCTCGTATCAGCTGGACGCTTCACTCTCCACTCTAGTCCTCTGTGGCTATGTCACGGACTCTGGGCCCAAGAGTCCCCAGGTCTTGCCACACTGCTGGCCAACCAGGTCTTCACCCGGGTTCACAGAAGTCTATTGACCGTTGTAGGGCTTAGTTCACTGCTTCATTGATGTTTTTCCCTCACTTCCCCTTTTCGGTGTCGAGCGTGGTCACCAATCACAGGGTGTATTCCCATTGAGTCTTAGTCTTGGAAGGGGGTTTGCACTGAGGGGACCTGACCACTTGCCTTGATGTTTCCTGGACAATAGATGGTCTTTTGCATCTTATTTTACATGATAATGATGTCAAGCTTCATCTGTATTGTAGCCATGTGTGTGTGGTTATGTGTCATGGAGTAGGTTTGGACTCAGAGACCCTGTATAGGGTTTCCTAGGCTGTAAATCTTTACGGGAGCAGAAAGCCTCATCTTTCTCTCGCAGAACTGCTGGTAGTTTCGGACTGCTGACCATGAGATTAGCAGTCTGACTCGTAACCAGTATGCTACAAGAGCTACTTCATTACTTTTTGTGGCAGAATAATATTCCATTGTGTGGAAAAGCCATCTTTAGGTTTATCCTTTCATCAATAATTGTTATTTGGGTGGTTTCCATTTTTAAACTATTATGAATAATGCTGCCATGAACATTTGAGTACAAGATTTTGTGTGGATATATTTTCATTTCTCTCGGGTAAATACCTCAGTAGAATTGCTGGTCCATATAATCACTTTTTAGGAGAGGGCCAACCACTTTCCAAATTGTACCATCTCATCATCTCTTGGCAATGGCTAGATAACACTGCTACTGTTAAACGCTAGAGTTGGTTCCAATTCACAGTGACCCTGTATAGGGTTTCTGAGAAGCGGCTGGTGGATTTGAACCTCCGACCTTGGCAGTTGAAACTGAGCTTATGGTCCAGTGATTATCCTACAGTGTCACACCACTGCTGCTGTTGTTGTTAAGTGCCATTGAGTTGGTTCCAACTCATAGCGACCCTATATAGGGTTTCCAAGGAGCGGCTGGTGAGCTTGAACTGCCGACCTTGTGGTTCAAACTGACTTTGTAGTCCTGATCATTAACCTGCAGCACCACACTAGGATCATTGATATTAGTCCCATTTACATTTAAGGGAACCAAGATTCTGGGAAGTGGAGTCAGTTGTGTCAAGTCCCAGAACTAGCTTGTGGCAGTCAGGATTTGAACATAGTTCTTATCAATAGCGCATATTGGGAGCCATGAGCCAGTTATAGCTACATGGACTTAATCCAAATAGTAGACTTCCGGCCCAGGTAGTATTGTTGTTGTTAAGTGCTGTCTGGTCGGTTCCGACTCATAGCAACCCTGTATAGGGTTTCTAAGGAGCAGCTGGTGAACTTGTATCACCGACCTTGCAGTTCAAATGAGTTTGCAGTCTGAAACATTAACTCACAGCACCATACCAGGTGGTGTAGTGGTTACAAATCGGGCTGCTAAGCTCAAGGTCAGCAGTTCAAAACTACCAGCTCCATGGAAGATGGATGAGGCTGCCTGTTCTAGTAAAGATTTACATCCTAGGAAACCCAATAGGGGGTCGCTATGAGTCAGAACCGACTCCATGGCACACCACCACCATCATAATCAGTATAATAACTCCTCACTTCAGTCTAGTGGTGTATAGCTTACATAACATCATCTGATGTTCACCTGCTGGGGAGACAAGCCCTGAAAGAGGAAGGAATTGAAAGAGCCAGGTCTGAGCTACATGACCAGGCCTGGGACAGGCTACCAAGGGGCCCCAGGGCAAGTTCCTGACAGGGGCTTAAGCCTTGAATGATTTCACCAGTCGTTTCCTTAATGCCACGTGGCCTGACATTCTTAAAGACTTCACTGTGCAGGCTTCACATTCCGTGGGTTTCTGGGTTTTCACAAATAGGGCAATAACAAGAATGGAATCGGGGCGGCGGCTCTGTAACCCAGCAAGGGGATGTGGGCACAGGCTATTTTGGTTTTAAAGCCTGTCTGAGAGGACATTCCTCCTCTCCAGCAGATCCAGACAACTTGTTGGGACTCTTAGTCCCAGCTCCCAGGAGGAATTCCTGGTCTTCCTTCTCTAGCTGGGGCAGAGTGGGCCTCACATGGGGCAGGGGTGAGGGCAAAGCCAGACTGGCCTGGAACAGATATGGAGTCCTTAGGATAACAGCAAAGTATCCATCTCAATGACTCCATAATTCTAGTCCCAGTGTCATAGTTCAAACATATTCTTACTCAGATCTGTAAAGATGTTCCCCCCAGCAGTATTTGGAGTAGGGGTGAAGGATGATCAAGTTAGAGCCACCCAGTGTCTGGTATTTCTCAAATTACAGCCTTGAAGTCCCTGATTCTGATGACATCAGACCACCCAAGATTTAAGTTCTTATTCAGTCATGTGACCTTGAGCAAATCACTCCTCACTGTAAAATGAAAATACTTCCTTGGAGTTGTTCAGAGCCTTCAAAGTAATAAGTTCAAAGTGCCTGGCACATGGAGGTACCCAGTCAATGGTAGCCAAAGTGGCAGCTTTTGCAGTTTACAAAGCACTCTTTATTGGTCTTTCTTGTAAGTGTATAGATATTATCCTGCCACAGACAGTATTGTATTTCAAAGTTAAAAAAAAAAAAAAAAAAGACCAAAGTAAATGTCCAAAGAGACTCGGAAACTTGCTCTTGAACGCAGAATAGCTAAACCAAATGGAAGGAATGATGACATAAAAGTACTGAACACACAATTTCAAAGGACGGCTAGAGAAGAAAAAGTCAAGTATGATAAATGTGCAAAAACCTGGAATTAGAAAACCAAAAGAAAAGAGCATGCTCAGCATTTCTGAAGCTGAAAGAATTGAAAAAATTCAAGCCTTGACTGGCAATATTGAAGGATTCTGTACACAAAATATAGAATGATAAAGGAAACATCAAAACAGAGAAGGCATACAGAATCACTGTACCAAAAAGAATTGGTCGACTTTCAACCATTTCAGGATCAAGATGTCCAAGTATTGAAGAAGTCCAAGCTGCATTTAAGGCAGAGAAATACAAAACTCCAGGAATTGACAAAATACCAACTGAAGTGTTTCACCAAAC